GGGGGGGGGGTTGCTGCTGGTACCTGAGAGGCTTGGTGGGGGTGGCTCTGCTCCTCGGTGCTGGGGACAGTTGTTCAGGGGCCCGAAAGGCTGTATATATTATTTCTGTTCTTATCTGGTACTCAGTCCAAAGGCCTAATTCTCCAGCTCTACTCTCAATTTTAGACAGCCCTATATTTTTGAATTGGTGGAGATTTCTCTCAATGCCTCTGCCTCTCCTAGTAGCAGATTGTTACCTCTTGTAACTGTGTGAGGCCTGATGGGTGGAAGAGTACAAACAGACATGCCTACACTTTCAAAGTGTTGGTGCTCAGGTTCCCTTATCTTTTCTCTGTGGCAGACAACTGCTATCTGATACTCATGTAAAGTTTGTGGTGCGGAGGTTTTCTTTCCTTGGTTCTGCAGATCCATCCTCAACCTTAGGCAAGCCTTTTAGTTTACCAGTTTGCTTCACAACTTTGAGAGTGCAATGGACTTAAAAATTAAGATCCTGTAAGGTATCAAATTTGCTTTCATTTCTTATGTAGGATCAATACTTGTACCTTTATATCTCTAAGACAGGAGAAAGAAATTCTTTATAGCATTTTATTCTTAATTCTCCCTTAGATTATGCCCCCTCCCCAGAAGCAAGAAAACTAAGAAAAGGATTTGGGTTCAAATAGTTTATTTGGGAAATGATCCAGGAACCCCCAGTAAAAGAATGGAAGAAGAGACATGGAAAGGAAGGAAGTCAATATAGTATGCAACGAAGACTGTGGTATGGTCTCACCAGGAACTTCTGGCAGAGTGCATGAAATCAGCCTTGGTGAAAAAGCTGGACATTTATCCACAGGTTTAGCCTTATCTATGATTGATTAATAGTCCTCCCCACAGGTGATGCCTACTCCAGATCAAAAATGTAGAGAAACACAGTTGTTTCATATGAGAGGATATGGGCAGGGCTAAAAATCTATTTTAAACTCTTCAATGGTACTTTTATTTCTCAGAAATATCATATACTAGGTCCTGTATAATTTGAGAGACTTTTTATGTGGTTTCACTTTGTATTCTCCCAGCATTGTAACTCAGATATAAAATAGAAAACAATTAATATTTACTAAATAAGAAAGGATATCTTATACAGTATCAATATGGAGAATTCTAGATGATTTTTTGAGCCCTTCTAAATCCACATCTACTCACATAAAATAGTTTGATCTCTTAATTGGCAAAAAGGGTAAATTCCCTCAGATTAGTTGAAATTTATTAGACTCATATTGATTTTCTAACAAATTTGAGTGCCCTATGATTTAAAAATATAATTTCCAAATCAAAGCTTTACTTAATGGATATTTTATGTTATTGGCAGCCAACAATGATAAGGCGACCACCAACAGTTGTTTGTTACATCTGTGGTCATGAATATGGGACGAAGTCCATTAGCATCCATGAGCCACAATGCCTTAAAAAGTGGCATAATGAAAATAATTTGTTGCCTAAAGAACTAAGGAGACCAGAACCTAAAAAGCCAGAAGTAAGAACCATTACTGGTAAGTTCCAAAGAAAAGACTTGAGTACATGAGGAGAGACTTTTCTTTCTAAGCTGTGGTATAAACTTTGGTAGAGGTGTTCTTTTACTTGTCCAAATAGCTAAAATCATCAACATTCACTGCCTTGGCTACAGCCAAACAGTTCTGGAATGCCTGCCCAAAATGTTGTTTTCAGATACTGAGACATGAAGACACTATGTCCTGGCAACACTGCACATGAGAAGGACTCACTGGAATTTACTGTATGTCACCCTAATTACTTTTATATATTACCAAGCATAATTCTTAAAAAAAAAAAAAAAAAGAAAAAGTTGGGCTAGGGATTTAGCTCGATGGTTCCAGTACTTGCCTTGCAAGTGCAAGGTCCCGAGTTCGATCTCTGGTACCAAAAAAAAAAAAAAAAAAAAAAAAAAAAAAGCTTAAAAAGGCTCTAGGAATATCCAGAATCTTGTTTTCAAGTAAGAAAATATCTTGACATTTATAGAGCAGAGGAACCAAACTCAAATGCTCACTGAGTTCATAGTAAAATTATAAAATAGAATAAATTAGTCCATATGTGAAAAAAGGGAAGCTGGGGATTGAGGTGAACTGGAGAGGACCAGTTCCCTCTGAAGGAAACAGCAGCTGCCCAGTTCCAGCTGGTGTTATCATTGGAAATGTACCCCCAATGTTGCCATATCCTTCAATAATACAAAATAAACTGGAAATCTAGAAATGTCCAGATTTAATTTTTCTCTTTTTGATGGTGCTTTGGATTGAACCCAGGACCTCAAACATTCTAGGTATGTGCTCTACTGTTGAGCCACACCCCCAGCCTCATGATTTAATGGATGTTTACAATTCAAAATTTATAAAGCACTGTGAGAATGAAATGACACTGGAACTACGCTGTCACATGAGTCTGTCACATGGTGGGCTCACCATCCTGTTATTAAGTATAATAGAAAAAGTAGATCCTATAACTGCAGAAACATTTCCTCTGGATTCCATGCTACTTTCTACCTCTGAAGGTGTCCTTTGTCTGTAGGTAAACAGTACTCATATTACCATTCCCCTTCTATGGACTGTGTAGTAAGAGCATTCAAATAACCATTTCTCCAGATCCAAAATCAAAGCCTTAAGCAAAAACATTTAGAAATGTGATGAATCACCTTTGAGTTAGTGACTGCTCTAGAATTTTCTAGTTTGCATTAAAACTTATATAAGTATGAGAAAGTCAGTGCTATTCTTTTCTCAAAAGAGTTTTCAAAGCATTCAAAATACATATTCATAACTTGCATAGAAAGTGAAATTTCCTTTACTAATACTAATACTAGGTCATTTAGGGGTTTAAATTCTTATAGGGTAAAAAAGAAAATTAGGAGCAAGTATGTCAAGAATCTAAGATTTATAACAGTTGTGTGACTCATTGTATAGAAAATATATGAAATTTGCCTAGTTTTTAATGATGTGTAACACATGCTATTCCAATGATAAAAACTAAGTGAAAAAAATAAATTAAATAAAATAAAATTTTTTAAAAAATGATACATTTCTGAGTGTGTAGCTACATTTTGGGGGCCTATTTGGGGCAAGTCTAAGACATAATCAATTTAATGTACTAAAAGTACTGTGTTTAAATTTGGCTTATTAAAGCTAAATTCCACATTGTTTCTCTAAAATAGAGCCATATGCCTTTTTCCCTCATGCTCTGCCAATGAAGATTATACATTTCTCTGCTGTTTGTTTTGTTTTCTTAAGGGTACTTCTTTTCATCATATTAACTATTCTGTTTTCATTCTTCACTATGGTTACTTAAGGAATCTCCAAGTTTATGGTCATGAAGAGATGATAAATTTTTAAGATATAATTCATCTTAAACTCACCCTTAACTGTCAATTTTGGCCTTTGAAAACATTCCACTGAAGGATTACAGAAGAGGAAAACATAAATACATGTTCTTCTCCCATTGTAAGCTTATATTTAGAGTCAACTGAAAGAAAGCCAAAAGTTCTATTTGCAAGATAATAATGTATAAGGGAAGATGTTAATAATTAGTGAAGAATGCATATCAAACACATAATACAATGTCTTCCCCTTTTTAAGGTCCAAAGAGTAAAAAGCCTCTGGTTCATAGCTAACTTGATCCAACTGTTGAGTGAGCAGCATCATTTATTTAATTTATTTTGTAAAAATCATAGGATTTATTTAATAGCATCGCTTAAGAGATCTTTCCTGGAAATATTTTTCATAAACAGTAGAATATGGTTCTTAAAAAAAAAACTAATCCAGTTTTCCTTTTCTTCTTCCTTTTTTTTTTGTTTCATTTTTCTCTTTTTCTTTAACTTCCCAGCCAAAGGGTTCTATGATCTCGATGCCTTAAATGAAGCTGCTTGGACAAGTGTCCAGAGCCAGTTGGTTCCCTGCAATATTTATGGACGTACCTTCCTGCCAGAGAGACTGATTGTTCACCAGCGATCTTGTAAACCAAAAGCTGCCAAGTAAAGCCCTTTTCTCTTCACTAAAGTGTTATGAATTAATTCATTTGAAAGGGATTAGGATATAGTGAGAAGGAGAAAAGGGAGATGAGGAGAAGAAAGAAGAAAAGTAGAAATGACTGAGCATTGGTTTGGCTTAGTGCTTTGGTGGTGAGAATTTGTTTGCCCACCATTGTGGGACAGGGTAACAAGCAGCTTCTTATGCTTAAGGCACATGGGGGACCATATCTCACTTTCATCAGGCAGAATTAAAAGCAGATTGTTTCTTATCAGAGCTGGAATTTTTATCTAAATAAAATTTCTGAGCCAATAGTTGCCATTTTTCTTTACTCTATTTTCCTGAGCAAGATTTTGAATCTCACAGATTATTGAACAGAGGGTTTGGGGACAACTTGAAGCAATTCCTTAGTCCCAGGAAGAAGTGAATTTCTTTTTATTCCTGTGCTTTTTTATCCAGGACATGTTTATATTGAGTTATTGATTGAAAAATTTCTTTTCTCTGTAAGATCATTCCATAGGAAAGACATTTTATAAGTGGGCTGAGGACTTAAAGTACTGGAACCATATCTGATGCATATTTGCTTTATAACAGCAAGAAATGCCACAGAGTTTTTCAGCCAGGTCTAGATTTATGTGTCAGGAAACAGCTGCAATGCAATTCATCAAAATAGGTGGTCAACTCCACCCTATAGGAGAAGTCTAGCAACCAGTCTTTATGCCTTCATAGGGTTTTATAGGTGTTTCATTGTTCAGGTCTAAAAACCTGCCAGGAAATTTTGTGCCTCCCCACTCAAGGCCTATTCACAGTAAGTGGGTTGTGAAAGTGCTCTACATTTCAGTCTTTGAATGTGTATTTATTGAGGTGGGCCTCTCCTGGGAGGAAGCCAGGGCCACAGAAGTGCTCTGCCCAGGAAATTCTACTTCTCCAGGCAGTGTGGCTTCACCTGGACTCCAAGCAGTCTTGCCTGAGGTCTTTGTTCATTTTATGGCTAAATCCCAGAACCGTCTTGGTCCCTAGATGCCTATAAGCTTCACATCATGACCTTATATGACACCATGAGCTCCAAATTATACAGGCAAATTCATTCAATTTAATATTTTGGTCATACATCTACATATTTTACAGGGTTGGATTAGTATAATTGTACTAATCATTCTGTTTTTCCTGCCTGCTCCAAAGGAAGCAAGAGATGAACTTTTTAAAAATTCAGTACTTACCCACTGTGTTAGTCAGCTTTCAGTCACTGTGGGAAAATACTTGGGATAAAGCAACTTAAAGGAGGAAAGTTTTATTTTGGCTCATGGTTCCAAGATTTCAGTCCACAGTCAGCCAGTTGATGGCGTTAGGCCTGTGGTAAGACAGAAACATCATAGCAGAAAGGTGTGGCAGGGGAAATCTGCTTACTTCATGGTAGCCAGAAAGCAGAGAAAGGAGGAAAGAGCCAGAGAGGAAAGGGACTGGGGCTAAAATATTGTCCCCAGTGTTGTTCCCATGATTCATTCCCTTCAACTGGGCCTACCCCCTATTTCCATCACCTCCAATTAATGCCATCAAATTATGAATCTCATCAATTGATTAATTGACTTGACGAAGTTAGAACCCTTACAATCCTATTACTTCCTAAAAAGCCCATCAACTTGCTTTTGGTGGACATTTTAGATCCAAACCATAACATCCTTAAGTAAGAATCTTGTGAAGATCATGGCTTTGAATGACTCATAGTTGATGGCTTAGCTTTTTGTTTTTTATCTTGTTAATCAAAATGATGAAAGCCTCTTACTACATTGAGTGTACTATGGGTCAAAGACTGTGTCAAGTGCTTTGTGTATATCAGATTCTATACATCTTAATCAGTCCTACAAGTAGATACCATTACCCTCACATTACAGGTCAGGAAACTGACATTTAGACTAGGTAACTCAATATCACACTGATTTTGAATTAAGGGGTCAATAGGGACGCCAACTCAGGACTGTTGGGCTTCTAACCCAAAATTACAAGTGTTGTTATTTATTCCAGATGTCATCATCAATAAGATTAGCCATATTAGCAAATATTTGACAAAAATGAAAATTCTTGCACAAGAATTAGTCTAGTTATTAAGGTGAATGGGTATGTTATAGTTTTGCTAGTAGTCTGGGTTGTCTTAGACTGAGATAAAAACATAAATTTGAACTGCACTATTAGGGGCTTCAAAAAGACACTTCTTTGCTGTGCTGATGTTTCAGAAAATCAGAATATCATGGGAGATAAAACAAAAATTCTGGCCTCAATTATGAAATGAGTTGCCACTCAGAACAATAAAAAGATGGTTGTCAAACCATGGGCAGATGTCAAACCATGGGCATGACAAAACACCAAAAACAACAATGTATTTATCTGTATAAATTAAGCCTATGAGTTTGTAGTATGATTGAAAAAGACCGATTTTCCCAGGAATCATAACTTCCAGGAAGAACTGTGAGCCAACCTGAGCTATATCAGGGTGCTGACTATGGGATTCCATGTATGTCGCCACCTCAGCTAGCCTACAAATGTTCTACAGAATTAAATCTGGAGTAAGTTCATTGGAATGACATCAATCCAAGATTAATGGCCCATTATTAAGGCACATCAAAATCTTACATTAATAGGAAAGAGCTCACCTATTGTCTGCCAACAGCCCTCCACTTAATGAGTTCACATTTGTGGGGATCTTTCTAATTCTCAAAAGAAAACAGTCTTTTAAACAATTGTTGGCACTTCCATGTCCTAGGAATTTGAGCCTTGAAATAGTTCTCATAAATAATCTCTTAGAAGATGAAGAGCAGATACTACATGAAATACTTGGCACACAGCACTCATTTGGGCAGCCATTAGTGTGGTTTGTAATGTTATTACAGGCATCAATAACAATGCAATTTCCTCTCCACCCTGGTACCTGGTGCTGCACAAACTTTAATTGAATTCTCCTCTGGTTGAGGTTATGGGAAGAATTCCAGGATATCTTGATGCTCATTAACACAGTGAATTCACATCAGAGTGTCAGGCCATCAGAGTAAAGGTAGTAAATAAGCACGTTTTAGTAAGGCATACGGGGAGAGGGACTCTGCTATGTGTATGTACATAAACCCTTCAGATCTATTATGGCAGGCAGCTTCATTATAGTATTTTTATAACAAATACTTCCAAATGGAGTTCCAAGAATGACTCCTTGTTGACTGCTTTGGTTTGGGAAACTGGTCTGAGTCCCTTTAATGAAAACGAAGATGCCATTGACAATCAGAGACACTGTGAGGAAGAAAGAAATAGCAGATATCCAATATCCAAAGTCCTCTACCCCTTTGTCTTTCTGCAGTTGTCTGCTTCTGACACTAGCACTGTTTTTTCTGTATACTCCTGTCCAAAACCATCTCATATGGCTTGAATCTCATATCACATCAGGTCAGGAAGCTCAGCCCTTTCCTTTCCCAGTCCTGTAAGGTCCTTTCCTTACTCTGGCAATAGTCCACCTTTCCTTATCATTGTGACTTGCATACTGAGTCACTGTCTGGCTCATACAAATGGCTGTGCCTGTTTCTGCTGGCCTTGCCCTGCTCTCTGGAGTGAGATATGAAAAATGAGCTTTTCCTGCACTTGAAAGAAACATCACAAATGAAAAGCAGTCAAGTTTCCAGCACAGGCTAAATTGGGTGGTGTAGAGGGAATATACACTAGGAAAAACACTGCTAAGTTATCGTAGATATCATGATACACCTTTATTCAAAGTTTTTTAAAAAGTAGATCATGCTGGGGATTTACCTCAGTGGTTCCAACGCCTGCATCATGAGCACAAGGTCCCAAGCTCGATCCCTGGTAAAACAAAACAAAACAAAACAAAAAACTAGGTCACAAAAATAAAATATTCAAATAGATACATTCAAAGAGAAAAGTACAATGAAGTCTCATGTTCTCTATATCCAAATAAATTTAGTTCTTAACATCCCACTAAGGTTGAATTTTAGGGCCAGGGATTTAGCTTAGTGGTTTCGATTTTTACCTCACAAGTGCAAGGACCAGAGTTCGATCCCTGGTACCAAAAAAAAAAAAAAAAGATTGAATTTTAATGGTTTAAAAATTTAAATTATTCTTTTGGATTAAAAGGAAGATGGAGATGTTGAGGAGAGGTGCTGGGAGCCAAGAGCCCGTGGCACCTGTGATAATGCCTCTCAGTTCTACTTATGGAAACATGAAATTAAGCTATCATGGATATAAGTTGGGTCTTTTTTGGTAGCAGGGATTGAACTTGGGTCCTTGTGCTTGCGCAACAGGTGGTGAAACCACTGAGCTAAATCCCCGGCCCATGGATATAAGTTTACATACAAGTGTCATAAAAAAAGAAATGGTCTAAGCATCATGAAGCTAGGTCCTATCATTGATTCACATTGATATAGGTCAAGGTCTTTCAGATGTCTCCTGGTTAGAAGAGAATGTATTATGCAAAATAACAATCTCCAAAATCTTTGAGCCTCTACTCTCCAAAAGCTATGAAAACATGCCCCTTATAGGACAAGAGGGACTGCACAGGTGTGATTGAGGTTATGGATGTTGAGATGGAAAGATTATCCTAGGTTACCCTGAGAGAGCAATTTAATCATATCAGTCCTTAAGTAGAAGAAGAAGAAGGCAGAAGAGTGGGTGAGAGAGAAGGCAGCACAAGAAAGATTTCACACCACATTGCTTGTCCTGAGATGTAGGAAAACATATGCAAGGGCTAAGGGAGGTCTGTAGGATCTAGGGGTGGCTCTCAGATGATAGCAAAGAAGCTGACCCCTCAGTCTCATGAACAGACTCTACTAAATTCTTCTAAAAACATAAATAAGGAGATGGATTCTCCCCAGAGCCTCCAAAAAGGAATGCAGCCACAACAATACCTTGTTCTTATCAGGTGACTACAGGGTTGAATTTCTAATCCTACAGAAATGAAAGAAATCCTTGTGTTTTTAATCACTAATATCTTAATGATTTGTGATGGCAACAATAGACAACAAAAAAATGTATCTATGCGGGATGAGAAAAAACCAATAAAATTTCCTGTTGATCAGAGAGGCAGAGCTCCCCAATTCAAAAGGGACATTGGTCACCTCCACTGCATGCTTAGGGAAAGGGCAATTAGACAATGCTTATTGCGACAGATATTCTAAGAAAAACTGGATTCAAGATTTTTCATCCATGAATATGCAACCATTTTGCAATATACTGTATATAAATTCTAGAAGCAGATTTTTTAAATGTTTTATCAAGGTATATATTGTCTTTGATATTCTTAACATAAAACTGATTCTGTCATGTACATATAATGCTTATTTTTAAAGTAAGTAGACAAATGCAGTTTACTTATTTGGTAATTGGTTTTTGGCATCAGTAGCTCCATGGCCTTGCCCTGCCTGCCTGTATATCTATACTAGAAATTGTATTCCTCTCCAGGAGTAGCAGAAAGAAAATAGTTATACAGTCTTAAATGATAGGAGGTTGTTGTACATAACAGTTACATTTGTTTGGGAATATATATATATATATATGTATATATTCTTGATCATTTTTTATCTTTTTATCCCCCTTATCCTCTCCCTCCCCTCCCCTGATCCTCTTCCCTTTCTCAAAAAAGTTTGCCTCCTTGCTTCCCACGATCTCTCTTTTATTTTACTCTTTAATTAATTTATATTTTGGGCTTCTCATATAAGACAAACCATGTAATATTTAACTTTCTGTGTCTGATATATTTCACTTCACATTATGCCTTCAAGATCCATCCATTTTCCTGCAAATGGCATGATGCTGTACTTCTAAGTAAGCTACTGATTGAAATATGACAACACATGAGAACTCCAAATATGTAGATTATTGTTATGCTTATATCTAGATGTCCCCTCAAAGCCTCACACAGTCATAGGTGGGGCATTTTCAGGGGTGGCCGGATCTAGAGTGTGTGATTGATTCATGGTACAATGCTAGAATTAAGAGTGATAGGATTAAGAGTGGGTAATTACTAAATCAGTCCACTGATTGGTTTGGCACTGCCCTAGTCTCAGCAGCCTGGATACAGCATAAGGGACAGAAAGAGCCTTGTCTTGCTTTGCTACCTTCTGCCAACCATGAACTCTTTCACCTCTGCAATGGTGTCTGCAATGCCACCCTGTCTTGGAGCCAGCTAAGTATGGACTGAAACTTCTATAAACTGTGAGCTACATAAACCTTTCCTCCAAGAACTTGTGGGTGTTAGGTATTTTGTCTCAGCAATGAGAGCAAAATAGCTAAGACAATTATTTTTTAAAATTCCAAAATTCTTTCATGACTTTTGCCAGGGCTTTTCTGAAAATCAATGTAGAGATCTAAAAAGTAGTGTTGTCCATCAAAATTACTTGCTTGAAGTAATAGGTAAGGAATGGACAAAAGTCCCCTCACTTGCTGCTTAATAATTTACCAACCAGTATATTTACTTTCGTTCCTCAATCTCCCCATTTTTCAAATTTCTGTTTTCTGTACTTCCCTTCAAAGTTTCCCCTACTGGTCCCACTCCCATCGACCAATTCCAACTTCTCAGATTTCTCTTTCTGCAGGAACAAAAGTACTCTGTGCTCCAGATATTTTCCCATCTTCCCCAATCTGCTGTTTCATTTTACTATGTCCCTTTCTCGATTTTTGACAAGGTATTTATTCCATTGGAAAGAATCTGACAAACTCTCCTTTGCTGAGAGGTTCACTGAAGATCATGATTTCACAATCTCTTCCAGGTGATATAGTTATTTTAAAAGAAGAGTACTAAAAATAGTACGTCTTTATCCACATAATGAAATCCATCTGGCAGAATTTTAGGTAAATATGGAAATGGAGGTCAAGAGAGCATGGGAAGTGGGCCTCATTTTAATCATTAGTATGCTTTTTTGTACTATATGAACATCACATCTGAGTAGGGACATTTTTGGTTGAATAGTTAATATAGCAGATAGACCCAAATCAGAATAATGGCCTAAATAGGACAAATTTGTTTCTTGTTCTAAAAAGAGCACTGGGAAAGTAAGCAGTATAGTGAGGTGCTTCCTTGATAGAATTATCCGCAAAGCTCTGGCCTGCAGATGAACTTGTGCCATTGTCAACATTTAGCATGTGGACCTCAGAAGTTGCCCTGGGGAATGGGCAGGGGGGCTCTGCTTTCAGACCAGTTTAAAAGAGAAAGGAACAAGGAGTTACCCACTGAGCAGGATGTACAGGAAAGATCTGGAAGAAATTCCCATCCTTCCACTTACATTCATTGGCAAAATCTCACCCATATGGCTGTACCTCAGTGCAAGGTGGGCTTGGAGTTGTGTTTTTACTGCGGCAGCAGCAAGAGGAGGTAAAAACAATTTGGGAGGTAATTTAGTAGCTTGTGCCATAAGACTCAAATGTAAATGTATTTCCAGAATTTTTTTACTGGACCACTTTCCCTCTTGTGGAAAATCAACAATATTTGGGTCAAAATCCAGGAGGATAAGATATTGTTTTTGCCATAAAGGCAGACAGATTTGCTAAATTAGGATAAAAAAGGTGAAAGTTTAAAAATTTGTAACTATATTCAGATATTAGGAATGATAGTATATTCAGTTTTAGAATCTTTTAAAACATTTAAAGAAATACTTTTAGGATTTTTTGATATGCTGAGTTATAGGGGCAATTAGAGTAAAAAGTTAAGACCATTTTGCAAAGGAATGGATGATCCCCTTTATAGTGGGCAGAGCCCCAACTTTAGGCAACTATGAAACAAACCAATTTGTTATCCTCTGGCTAGAGCTGGACCAAAAAGAAAAATGGAATTTGGACTCAGGAGTAGGTCAAGGAAAGATCCATCTATATGAGAAAGATCAAAAGCATTGCAACTGGTCAGCAAGACTGACTGAAATGGGTGGCAATAGGTGAGGACTTCTTACACTGGATAAGACTGGTGAACATAAAAGCATGGTCCACTGTAACCAAGTCTTAAATGTTCCTATTCTGTGTTCTGCTTCTAATTCTGTATTTTATCTTCAAGCTCTCAGTAAAGCTTTATCATTCCCTCTGGCCTATGTATGAGCTGTGCTGAATCATGAAAACGACTTGGGAAATAAGAGAAGAGCTAAGGTCTACACAAAGACACACAAAGAAAGCAGTTGAAATTTCATGGAACAAATAGCACTTAGAAGCAACAAATGGCAAACAACAACCGATGTACATATATATTCCATGGCAATCTTCAGGATCATCTGAGGAGAAGACTGGAATTCCTGACCCCATCTAATCGGGGGTTGGACCTTGATTATTTTGGCCAGGATAGGGGTACAGAACTCTGAAGGCCAGAGAACATGGAAGTATGGTTAAATGTGCTCAAATAAAACATGAGTGAACTGTACAAGACTGAGTGTAATGGTGCCAATTGGTGTTATATAGGTGGTAAATGCTGCCACCAATGCAGATGGGAACACCAAAGTCCTTAGGAAACCTTTCAGCCAAGGAAGTTTGGAGCTGGCTTTGCAATAGTGAAACGTTAGAGCCATTAGGGCTCTAGAGGACTGCCCAGTACAAAAAGCCTGTAAGAACTGTGGGTTACTCCCATGATTGCAGAGTTGGGTATGTTTTGTTTCCACTCTAATTGTCCTGTTTTTCTCTGTTACTTCCTGGAGTTTATTCACAGAATTTCCTGATAATTTGATAAGTTGTGTTACTTTTCCTTACTCTGCTGTGTTTTCTAGACCACAGTTTCCTTTGAATGTGCCCATTATTGGTCTGCTAACTGAATTCCTCCAGTCCTCCAGACTGTGTTCCAGAGCTTGGGGTACTCTGGCTGTAAGCAGCCTCACTGGTTAACATGAGCATGCAGAGCCAATAAATAGTAGCACTTTCTAGATGTGATGTAAAAAGAAACACGGTGGGAAGCTCTGTAGCCTATGTCCCGGTTAGTGACAGTGATCATAGGGAAGACAACTGTGAGCCTTTAGCATACTAGACTAGGAGATAAACTTCAAACTAGTCATCAAAGTCATTGTTTTAGTTATTTTCTCTGATTCAAGTTACTGTTTCTCACCCTCTCTTTATTTACATTATTTCTTTCCAAATTCTATCATTAATATGCTCTTTTTCAAGAAAGTTGAAAACCCAGATCCAGGAGGTGGTAGAACAATATCATATACCTTTTGGTAATAAGAAAAGAAAACCCATTTGTAACTGTGGTAATCAGGGAAAGATCTGGAGTATCTTAAGAGAAGGTGACTTATGTATGACGCTTACTAGAGAAAACAACAAGGGACTGCAAATCAGAGGAACAGCTGCAGCAGAGGTGAAGGATGGAGGCCGAATTAGTGTGAGAGGAAGGAGAAAGGTGTCAACAATGGAAATGTCACCTCATTTTTCCCAAGCCCCCAGATGTCAGTAGGTACTAATGCCACTTGGACACGTATAACTTACTTGTTTTCTTCAAGAGGGCACTGGACAAGATGTCCTCTGCAGGAAAAACATGGGCAAAACGCAAAAAGGCTGGGAAGGATACAAATCTACCTTTCCAGATTTGTTCCCATATTTATTCTTCCTTACTTTTCAGTTTGCCACAGTATCATTTACTCTATCTCCATCTATTTGTCTTTCCATATGCAAGTTCTTTCGTTAATGAGCATTTTAGCACTCTCTAGCCAGAAGAGGGCAGTATTTAGAAGCAATGGACAAAGTTCAGACAAGCATTTCTGGGCCAAGATTTTCTAGCACGCTGTATGTATTTACTCCTGAAGTCATATCAAGTGATTCTTTCATCTTTCTCTTCCCTGCCAACTTTTTAAAGGAATAATCATAAGTGTTTAGAACATATATTTCAACTTGGCTTCATAACAGGCTATGTTTTGGCCTATTTTCTAACAAAATGTATACAAAGCACAGAATACAAATACCTAGATATTGTGAACAGAAAGTATATAGTTATTCAGGCAAAACACTTCTTGAGGTGTGTCTGGTTTTATGAAACTGGACAAATAGAATTAATATTCCACACAGTTTTTTAAAATAATGATATAAATTGTTTAGTAACTTTCCTAATACATATATTGAGATCTCAGAGGAGTTGTTATGTACTGGCTACACAATGCAGAGATAAGTCAATGACAGGAACAAAGAGGGATTCTGGGTAGTAAAGATGGATGATGTGGGCTTGAAAGGAACTATAGTTTTAAGGAAGAAAGAGAATGTTCTATAAAGGAAAAGCAATGGGGAAAAAAGAAATCACCTACTCCATCCTCAGGCACTGTGTTATATGGAATATGGCAATCTGATAGTGTCTTCATGGGCCACTATGTTTTAGTTAGATTAAGAAGCATTATCTTAAACATTTAGAGAAGAAATTGGGAATACAAGGGATTTGGCAATTTACAGAGCATGAGGCATTAAAGAAAAGGTTTGGGGGAGGGAGCTGACTTCATTACCTGTGTAGTCTCTTAGAAAAGATCCATGCATGGTTTAATGTTTTGCTGACACCATCTTGAAGTTCTTAATAATTTTCTAATAGGGAGCTCTACATTTTCCTTTTGAACCAGACTGCATTACATGGTTGAAAGTCAGAGATATGTAGAAGTTTGAGTTATGCAAAACTAGAGAATTTACAGATCTGTCTGTGGATGAGACTAACTATCATGTGCTGAGAAGCCTGAATTTCTAGCTATGTTTACAGTATCCAGTGATATAATTCCAGTGAGATTATTACTAGTGGTCTTTTAGGGAACAATGATTCATCAGTCTTAATTAAGCCTTCCTACAAGGGTAAGGTGGAGATGTCGGTGCTAGAGAGAGGCAGGGTTTAGGGATCATTTATTGGTCTTTGGATCAGGAACAGGAGGCCCATTCTGGAGCATATGGGGCCTCACTTGGATTCAAGGGCACTTGGAGCTCATTCATGTCCTTCCTACACCACAGTGTAAAATGTGATAGTGATAAGGTGAGATTTCTGAGGCTTCCTTAAACAGTGCTGCAGGCATGTTGTACATGGAAGAAAAGTAGCCTTATCAGAAGTCACAAAACCAGTTAAATATTCCAATGGGATAAAATTTGTTAGACTTTTGCTTACTGCTTCCGAAGTTTGATGTCTGACTTAGCAAGCTTTTCTAACTTTTCTCCCAAAACTGTACAGCCTCTTAAGTTTATTCTAACAGTTTTTAGTTTTTGTATTTAGCCCTTAATTCACCTAAAATTTTATTTATGGTGCATAGTAAAGTCTAACTTTTCCACAGTGTGGTTTTCTAGTATCATGTATTATTTTATCCTATATTTACATGGGTACGTTTATGAATTTTTACAATCTGTTACACTGACCTACTTTCTTATGTCTGCAACATTATCACATTACTCACATGATTTCATCTTTAGAGTATATTCTGATATTGTGTGGCAAAAACTGAGTGAGTTCTCTATAACATATTTTCTTGGCTCTTCTTACCTGTTTCTTCTTAGAGATAAATTTTAGAATTAAGCTTGTCAAATACAAAAAATAATTATGCTAGGATACTGATTTGTATTGAATCAAGCTAATATATTATTTTGCTTCTGAATTCTGTTCACCCACCTGTGTTAACCTGTTAGCTTTACTAGTAACTCACTCTTTTTGCACTTTTTCTACTTCTTGTGGGACTGTCATCCCCCTTTCCACAGCCTTGTGTGTTTTTCAGAGAATTCTGAGCAGTAGTAAATACATAAGGAATTGAAAGTTTTAGAATCAGAAAAAATTTATAATCAGAACATTTCTGAATGCTAGAAACCTATGTTCATTTCTTAAGTCTGTGTTGTTAAATTTAGTTATATATTCTCTTAAGTGCTTTGGGAAAGATTTAGAAAATTTTGCCTTAGACCCTGAAGATGTCTGCATTAATGTCTCCTCTGTAACAAGATGGGTTAAAATATAAAGCCACATGAAATCAAATTCCAGACATCATTGCAAATCAATATATAATTGGAAAAGTATTCCTCATAGCTCCCCATTTTTTAGGAAACTAAAACCTTACTCATTTTATAAGGAAATTCAGAAAGATGAAAATAATTTTGGTTCAGCCAACTCACTTATCCCACTGTCCAAGGCTAATCAAGGCATGTGATTAATAATACAGTATCCTTCAAAAGTACATCCTGGGAAGTGTTTTCACTTATGTTTAATGAAAACCACTTGGAAGCAACTGAGTGCTGTGGAGAATTGGTTACTTATTATCCTTGCTTATGAATTAGCATGAGTTTAACGAGTAGTTGATGCTGAAGGCTAAACTTTTTATTTCTTTTTCATCATCAATTTTCCATCCAGACTTTAACCAAAAGATAGACAAATGTCCAAGGGCTAAAGTTAGCCAGCAAAAGAAGCTAGAAGTAGAGATTTGGAATCAAGGAGGGTAGACTGGCTAGTCTCATGAAATCATGGATTCCAGCAGGGGGCAGTAGAGGCTCTTGGCTTCCCTCTGCACTAGGTCCAGGATTTCATGTCACTCAGCTAAGACAAACAATTTGAATTATCTATGGTTCCCTTTCTCACCGAAATAAGGATAGGAAGAGTCAAGGTGGAGTAGGAAGAATAAAAACTTGCACTTAAAATTGAAACCCTTAAGAAGGACTTTGCTTTAATCACTGAAGACTCCTATTCATAAGGAATGTGTACATTTCAGGAATCTCTGTACATGCTATTTATTGTTAATTTTTTTTAGTTTTGAGGGACAATGATATTTTAATCATCAATAGCTTTCAGCTTACTGTCAAGGCTCTTCCGCAGACTGTCTAACATGACTTACTACTCAAAACGGCTCCCTGAAACCCTGGACTATTAATGACCTCTGTAAAAAATGAAAGTTTAAAAATCCTAAGCATTTTCATATAGAGTTGAAAGAGAACTGAAACATTCCTCAGAAGGAGGATTTGGAAGAGGGAAATTTCTCTAATACATCAGATCAGTGTTTCCATATCACATCAAAGTAAAAGAACAGATTAATCAATAAGATGTTTCTCAAAGATCTGTCCCCAAAGCAGATATTTATATTTTATTTGTTTATTTATTTGGGGGGGGGTTTTTGTTTATTTGTTTATTGGCAGTACTACAGATTGAACCCAGAGTATTCTGGAGATCGAACTGAGGGCCTTCACTCTGAAGTACGTCCCTTTTTCATCCTATATTTTGAGAGAAGATCTCACTGAAGTTTAAGTTAAGATCTTCTTGGAGGCAAGGATTTAGCTCAGTGGTTCCACCGCCTGCCTCGAAAGTAGAAGGACCCGAGTTTGATCCCTGGTACCAACAAAACAAAACAAAACAAAACATCCTTTTGGCTCAGCCTCCTGGAGTACTGGGATTATGGCCTTGTGCCACCATGCCCAGC